TGAATTAAGAAAAAATACTTCCCAATATGCTCACACTATTGACAAACCAAGAAGTCTTATCAGCAAATGAAAGATGAGAAGTATCTCAAAAGAGAGATCATTGTGGGTCTGACTATTTAAAAGTAGGATTAATTTAAGCAAAACATGAATAATACTAATTGAGAAGGAACAACCTTCCCAACGGTTAGAGAGACAGCTCTGAGAGACTGGCTGCTTCCTCTTCAGCACAGCAGACTTCCAAATAAATTACTGCAAACTGCTTTCCATCTGACCAACAAATTAGTGTTGTGATTTTGGTAGAGAGGTGCCTAATAAAGAAATATGTAAGGAAAACCCCCAATCTATTTGTTTGGGACCTGTGTCCTATACACTGTTTAGCCCAAACTAGTAAATATTCAAGCAAATTCAAGTCGTTATCAACACGCTGACCCAGAGGTGACTTCATTTTGCCTTCTAGCAGAAAACTTACCCTGCTTGGGTTGCCAGCTTTTGCAGGAACTGCAGAGAGAAATTTTCTCATCTTTATTTCTCCTCGAATGCTAACACAGCACAGAGCCTAATTTCACTAGCTGAATGCCTATGAATTAACAGTAGTTTTAATTACTTTTGATACCATCTATATTTGAGCACGCTTTTCATTTCACATTCATTTTTCTTCCATTCATTATCAAAGTCTCTCCCCACTAGACTGTTTATATTTTAATTTGTGCAGACTTGAACAATATACTAACTCCAAAACTGTCCTAATTAAATTACATTTACTTTCATAGATCTGAGCAGCAACCCATGTTGACCTCAAAAATACTCCCTTCTTCTCTTTCCAATATATTTTACTGCCTATCACAGAATTATTTTCCCCAGGCTCTACTACTTCTTCAGAGTCAGCCTTTGTACAACTAGTCTTCCCATGCATATCCAGATTAGTATTTCAGCTTTAATAAAATTACAGTCCAAAAACCTAAATGGGCTGTACTTTTTAGTCCATTAATATTATTTAGGTCATTTCAGATAAATAATTGCAGAGCAGCTTCTGACCACACTAGTAAGAAAGGACTTTGATGTTGAAGATAGGACTTTTTCCCCACAGCCATCATTCCCAATATTCTTCATAATTAAGATACTATTCAAAGATGTCTTTCTAGAATGGTTAAAGAATCAAAGCTGAAAGTAAGACTCACCTATGACTTTTCACTTCAGAGCACATTAATTCAACCTGAGGGATCCCAAGAAAATGCCAGTACTTTATTTCCTACACAGAAAGATATCACCACCTTCTGCACCTCAGTTATACCCTTTCAAAAACCAGGTTATCCTAACATTTTTAAACAGTTAATTTTTAAGGAAAAACATATCCTGTTATATCACCATGTTGCCACTTCTGCTATGCACGGGTGCATCAAATTAATTTTCCCTATTTATATTTCTTAGATCTCCTCCTTCCCTACTGCAGGGTCATCTTCTTCTAGACTCCTCTAGATTGTATTCTTATTTTAATGCCTAGTTAAAGAAAGCTCTGAATTCAGCTTCTTTCAAAGCAAAAATTATTACTTGTGATTGTACATGTTCATAGCAACTCTTCTGATTTTATTCAGAAATAATATGATGGTTTGAATCAATTAGCCAAGACATAATAGCAGTTGTTGGGGTTTTTGTCATGTTTACTTGTGAAAAGTGGATATAAAAATAATACTGAAGGCAAAGACATAATAATACACCTTCCAAGCCTTTAATAATTTGCATTTCAGAGTCTTGCTAATAGGTGGTTTAGGACAGAAAAGAGAAAAGTCAGAAAGTGCCTCCTTTAGTTTTTGTCTTGCACTTGGAGCCCTCATGATGGTGATGATGGTGAGCTCTGACTGATGTGTGTGCTGTGCATGGTCTGCATGGCTGTGACAGAGGCTGAGGCTCTGCTCTCTGATGTGGGACCCACCAACCAACCTCTCCCCACCCCACCAACAGCCAGAGGGCTGGTGGCCAGGCCCTTTGGGAGCACATATGGGAAATGTGGCATCACAACTGGCACTTCCAGTGTGCTCCAAGAGCTTGAGTTGAGACAGTCACACTCCTCTTTTTTTTTCCTGAAGCAACAAGGCTGTTCTGCAGCTAAACCCATGACCAAAGTGCAGCTGAATACATGATGCATCAGTGAGCCTGAGCTCACCTGAGAGATTTCCACAGTACATTGGAGATGGTTCTGCTTCAAGTGTTACACAACCCAGCTAGCTAAGATAGGGTGGAACATCCTGCTAATGCTGCCTGGAAGAAATAGGTCATGGAACTTGGACACTGCCAATTGCCAAACTGAAATCAATTAAGAAATCCATGTAGAGGAAAAATAAAAATCAATGCTGACTGCCATGGCCCAGTGAGTGGATGATCTGCAGAGCGCAAAGCAGTCCTGACATACACTGACAGACCCAGGGATGCAGCTGCCCCTGATCCTGACAGGAAGAACAGTGTGCAGAGCCTTCTGGATGCTCTGCCAGGGTGGGCCTGGGAGCGCAGGCTGAGGGAGGGACAGATGGAGAGAACAAACTATTGCTCCTTATGTTGCCACCTCTCCACACGTGGAATAGGGGACCAGATTTTTTGGAATTGTTTCCCCTCCATTTTTTTCACAAGTGCTGAAAAGTATACAGACATATGAATCTACAGATATACTTTGTACATCCTGTGCATGGATACAAACACACACTGAGTGCATGAATATATTGACATCTCACTGACTGGGGCTGTGCTCCAGCTGCCCATAAACTCTATTAAATTTCCTTATTATGTAACTCAGGAAGTCAGGGGTAAAATTACATGCTCCTTAAGACACCGATTCAATAGTTTATCTGTTTGTTCTTGTCCAGTGGCAGAAGCAAAACACAGAGACCCCTATCCCCCCTCTTTTTAAAATTACTTCCAAAATAAGGCCTTTCCTGTTTTTGGTTATATTTTTCAGACTAGCTAGTCTAAAAATTCATTACACAGTTATGAAAATCAATTGACAATTTCCACTCATCACATAACCAGGAGTCAGATTTTAGTGTTTAAAGATTTTAATATAATATTTTATGTTTCAAGATTTAGCACAGAATAAGTATATAATTGTAACATTTCAGAAGCATATTTCTACTATTAAGAAATCAGCATTAGATCTACTGTTCAAATACTGTAATTATTTAAAATTATCAAGAGAAACTCTTAATGATGCTTTCTGGTTAAGTAAGTGTAAATTTTTGTAAAATATTGAAGGATGAAAACTGATATTCTGCTTAGTCTTGTAAAACTTTCACTTGTGATCCTGGCCCAGTAAGAAGCTGCAAGAATTGAAGGATGTGTTGTGCATAGCAGCAAGGCAGAAGTGTCAGAAGGAAGAGAACACCCCCAAGAGCAGAGCTGCAGGCAGCAGACTCACTCAGCAGAAAGCACATGGGTTGGGCAGGAAGATAAACATTTAGAAGCAGGGGTGAAAAAAATAAAAAGGCATCTTAGAGACAGAGTGAGAAAGCAAGGGTAAGATCTTAAAGGCAGGAGACTAAATAAATGATACCAGGAGATGGAAAATCCCCATCCTGCTTTAAAAGAAAGAATAAGGTCATGAGAAGGCACAGCAAGAGCAGAGCTGCACTCCTGACCAGCAGCAGGGCCAGCATTTGAGAGGCACAGTTCCTTTGTTTGAAAAAGAAAAACTAATAATAAAAAAAAAAATCAGCAAGGGTCCCTCTAATAGGCACACTTGACTGAAGTGCCGCCTTTTCCCAGAGGAGACTTCCAGGGTCTGTTACTTCTGGCCAGTGTCACGGCACAGCACCGTGTTGTTCTGTAGATACTGTAACATGGAGCAGTATTTCTGTTCCTTTCGTGTGGAAGGCAAAACTTCAGAGGGAAACTCTTCAGTTTGATTTTAAATGTTTACAGAACACAAAAGTTTGTTGGGTTAAGCAGGATGCACCAGCTTACATGTATGGCTGCAGCAAGGCCAGAAACATTCCTCTGATCTGACATATAACCTGTTTAGTCTGTGATGTAGCTTAAGAATCTACTCTTAAGTGCATTTTGTAATTAGAAGTGCTTACAAGAAGCACAGGCATCACAAAAGGTACTTCATACTGTTTTTTTCTAAGATCAAGTGTATTTTTTCCTCCTCGTTTTCTATTTTACTCTTACGTACCAATTTTCTTACTGGAGAGAATTTATCTTATCAAAATCCCACATGATAGCATGGTTGTGCCAAAACAGAACTCCTGGTATAGAATTAAAACATTGACACTGTCTTATGTAATTTACCTACATAATTTAAATATTGTCTCTTTTTTTTTTTTTTTGTATTTTCAACATCCTGTTCAGCTACACTGAGTTACTTTTCTTTAAAATTGAATGAATGAATTGCATTTCAGTAGCTGGTAGGAATCAAACAACAGAGAACAAAAATTTCTGAGATCAAATACTTTGTTAAGAGGCTAACTGAATGAATAACTGGTTCTATGAAAACAGCAATGTTCCTCCAAATTTGGATGCTTGCAAGTTGTTAAAACCCTTTCAACTGACTCATGTCTGTATTTTATTTAAAGTCAGTTTTATTATTCCAATCTTGTCTTAAAGCTCATTTTAAACAATCTTCCAGTCTAATTAGCATTACCTTCTGGCTCCCTAGTACCACCCTTTAGTGTGCTGGCATGGTTAAAACACTCAGGTCTACTTGGTTTAGTATAGTGTGGCAAATGTCAGTGAAATACAGGGGCATATGGCATGTAATTACAGAACCATATGGAGGCCAGCAGCAACAGTCAACAGGATTTGAATGCAAGATCAAGAAAGTTAGAGGAAGAGCAATAAATCCATCATAAAATGGACCTATATAGTTTCTTTACAGCTGAATGAAGCCTGTATATGTCTGTCTTTTAATGAAGTGAAACACAAACAGCTGCAAAGTGCATCTACATTCTTCTAGCTTTGGTTTGGAAATGTATAAACCCAGATTATGAAGTTGAGTGAGGCAAGAAATCACTTACCAATGCACACAGCAGATCAACTGCTTCCAGAATCAGTTCTTGGTGGCCAATGCGAGTGACTCCCAGTTCCTCCAGCTCTTGATGGGTGATGTGTAGCAGCTGCTCACCATTGATCTTTTCTCTTTCAAAATTTTTTATGTATTGTTGGAGACAATCATCGAGGCCTATGAAAGAAAAGCATATTTAGAGAAGGGAGACAATCACAATTCTGTAATTCACAAATACAGACATTTCTGGGGAATACAAGTATGATTCCTTGGTTGGATCTATAGAAAATGTGCAAAAAAGTTATGATTTACCTTACACAATGTAACATTTAGTAGTAAAGGGAGAAATCTATATTACTGACATTATTTTCCACTCCCTTAAACACTTAAATACTAGTTTTAAACCTTTATGGTACTTATTATGGAAACAGGGAAAAGGACAAAGTAGTACAGAGTGACAGGATAGAAAACTTTTTTCTTACAATGCCATGAAGACCTAAATAGAAGTTTTGCTTATGATTAGAAGAAAATTCTTCCTGGTATTCCTCTTGTAGGACTCTTCCAAGTCATGCAGATAAACCTCTAACAGGAACACTAAGTGAGTTAAACAAGAGGTTGAAGGAAGTTCACCAAAAACATATTAGAAAACCAAATTACTATTGTTTCCCCAATTTATAAGTATACTTTCTTAGATAATATTAAGTGATTTAATTCAACCAAATAAAATTAGTCTACTTAATTGTAGTAGAAAATATTAGCTAAGCACATGACTAGCATGTAGCTCCTGAGCCTGACTGAATGCTGGGATTTGAAAGTGTCCAGAGATGAATTTGTAAAAGTTATAAGAGGGCTTGGTTAGAATAACCAAACCACCTGCCAGGGAAGTGAAAGCTTATAGAAACTGAAGACAGAAAATGTGAAATCTAAGAACTACCTTCTAGGCAAAAATAATCAATATTGTCCATGTTTTTCTATTCTCAGGTTTTCAAACAGTGTCTGAGGAAGGGAGATCTGACACCTTTTATCTGCCACACTGTATATAAGCACATTAAGTCTCAATTAAGCCAAAATAATTCGGCTGAGACACCGAGACTGTGAAGGCATAAGAACTGAATAAAACAAAGCAATGTATTTGTTTTCTGTTCCATAAATACAGGGAGATATATTGCAGTTTCCTTCAATTAACTTATCTTCCAAATTTACACAACTATTTCATCTGTAAACTAAGTCCTAAATTATCTTATCATCCTCATTTATCATTTAACAAGTAATGTGAACAGCTCTGTAGTCACTTGTACATAAATCCCATACAAAACTTGATTAATCATTAAAAATTCCATATTTTTTGTGTTGTTATTCATAACTATGAGGTAGTTTGATTAGCTTGGTATTTAAACTCAAATCAGCAGCCTGTTTGAAACTAATACCTAAGCCTTTCCTCTGTTCTGGGGAGGCCTGCAAACAGGATCCTGTTTCTCTGCATCTGCTTGTGGTTTTAAATGATTTAATGATTAATTTTATATTTTTGCTTAGATTGGTTGAAAACCCATCACTCCAAGTTCTGCATTAATTATTGAACATTCAAAATTCACATTTCTGTTCCCTTCTTGCTCAAGAACAATTCTTAGAAACAATCTCAAATTCCAAAACCCAGTTCCAGATTTATTTTGAGTGAATGTTTGCCTGAAACTCACCAGAAAAAGTCACTGAAACTGACACCAGAAGTTGAATTATTTTGGACAAAAATTAAGCATATGAATTTAAAAATGTAGTATCAGTGCCCACAAATAAATATTCACAGTATCCAGAGTTAGAAAATGTCCAATGAATGTGACATCCTATGAAAACTGTGTAGTCAGATGTATTAAACGTGCCTTTGTGCCAGAGAGAATATGTGACAGAAGAGCAAAATATGAAATTTGTATTATTCATACTGCTCTGTAATAGCTCCCCAGGGCATCTTTAGAAAACATTCACTTAATGGTGCAAACAGTGTGGCAGTTGACAAGAGAATACAGGAATGTATCACTGAAGGTCCAGGCTGGCTCGTAGCACAACAGCATCTAACACACACCAAGATAAATTTGTCCCTTGCTCTCTTGCTTGTCTGTCTGTCCAGGAGCTGCTCTGATGTTCCTCCTCTTACAGTGTCAAACTTTGTGTCTGCTAAGTGTGAGGTGTCACAAAGCCAGAATTTAGCTATCAGCAGATTTTTTGGCTTTTTTTGTTGTTTTGTTTTTTTTTAACATAGCAATAATTGTTCGTAGCATGAAAGTAGCAAAGATACAATTAGGAAGAACACAGAATGGGATAATTTTGACTCACCAAAGCCACTTAGGCCTCATTAGTGCTCTTAATGTAATTTTCTCAATATCATTTCTGTTTACAGATAAGACTTAAATTAGCTAAGATTCAGAACTACATAGAAGTAAGGGGCATCATCTGGTTGATATGCAAAAAATAAAATTAAACCTCTATTCCCAAGTTGCAGTGTCAGGCAAAAGAGACAGAGGCTGCAGCTCTGTTTCTACACATTCTACCTTTTTTTGGGCACAGCTGGTAACTAACCAATATATCCTTCATGGTGCAATAAATTAATTCAAGGAAAAGGGTTCTTGTAAATCTGAGACCTAACATGCATGAGAACTGCCTTATTCCAGCCACATGGACTAGGAAAACATTTTATCTGTGTTGGAAGAGTAGAGGAAAACAAGCATCTCTGATATGTTTATTGCAAAGTATGATTTTGGAGATAAGTCTTATAGTAAATTGCCTAAATCAAGGAAACCTGAAGAAGAAAGGAGGCAGAAAAAAAGATAAGGAGAAAGAACAGGAAAAGAAAAGCCATTTAGCTTAAAAATGTGTATTTTATGAACTGCATAATTAAGAAAAAAAAGAATCATTAAAATGGCAAAGCAAACCAACATGATAAGAAATTCTCTGTAGAGCTGGCAAAAATCAGATTTAAGCATTAACGCAGAGCGAATGTTATGAAAGAGCTGCTACATATTGTGGGCAATAAGACCCATTGAGATTAAAATGAACCTTTCCATTGATGTCAACAAACATCAGGTCTGTCTTACATTAAAAGCACAAACATAGTTGCATGTTACATAAAGATCTGTCCCTTTCTCTCTGGCATTAGACAGGGACATTGAAAAAATGCCTATAAAACTAAATGGAGGAAAAACACAGGTTGTTGCTCTCTCTGTGGGAAGTCAAATGATGTGGACAGGGCAGGTCTCACAGGGGAGAAATGTGGTGGCAATAACTCTGTCAACTGTGATCCATCACAAAAGGAAAGTAATTTTTAAGTCAAAAAGTCTGTCATTTCCAATTTTTCACAAATCCCTCCCTAAGTTACATTTGCTCTCTTCTCCTTTTTCAGATACCTCAGTGGGGTTTTTTAACTTATTGTAAACTATGCTGGCTTTGTAATCTATCCCAGAAATTCCTGCCCCAATGATGGTTTTGTTCATACTACATCATTATTCCCAGAGGAAAATCTGCAGCAGCTGGCTGGAGCAACAGAACACTGGCTGTGAAATGGAGGGGTTATGAGGAGGGCAGGCAGGAAAGGTCCTTGCCAGTTCAGCTTGTCACAACCATCACTGCTCTCACGAGGTGATCCTTATGACAGAAGAGGGTATACAAAGTGATACACTCTGTTCCAAAAAATGCAACATTGCTCATTCTGCTTTTAGGGTGAAAGAGAATGAAAACACTTCAGTAGAAATTCATTGACTACTCCTGACTTCTGCAGTTTAACCCTGACACAAAGAAGTCTCAGAATCCACCTCTAGCCAGTTTGGCAAAGAAGTCAAAACCACTTTGATTAAGGATCTAAGAAAGTATTTAACATCTTTCCTCATGAAAATAATTTTAAAAATAAAAAGCACATGCAGAATACTAAAAATCACAATTGCCCAAGATTTAGAGTTTAGATACAAGAGGCTGGGGAATCTGGGTCTAAAGAAAAAAACCTGAAAGTCAACAGAAAGTTCTCAGTTTGTCCAGGATTACACCTTGGTCTGCCAAGAGCAAATTAATATTCCTATTAATCTAGCTTGTTTGAGTAACACAAGCAATGCAACAATCATTCTGTTGTTGCAGAATGGTGACCTGTGGGGAAAAAATAAAATCAATAAATCAATGTGAAATGGGGACAAAATTAATTTTCAAATGTTGTTGTGCTCAATGCTGGAGGAAATGCACTAAAGCTGCTGTGTCCTTCAGTGGAGAGAAAGGCCAGTGGTGACTGGGCAGGTTTGTGAGGGCAGAAATCTTGTACATCGTGGCTCCAGGGCACAACAGGAACATGCCAGCACCAGTACACACATCCCAGGAGGGTGAGCTGAGTCGTGATCCACCAGGATCACCTAACAATTCAAAAGAACACTGCACTGAAACTACCTCTGCCTGACAAGAAAAGTCACCTAACAATTCAAAAGAACACTGATTGCACTGAAACTACCTCTGCCTGACAAGAAAAAACGGAAAGAAAGAAAAGGGAAAAAAAGGACAGAAACTCTGCAAGGAAGAGAAGAGAAAAGGTAAAAGACAACCAGAAACTGTGTGGAAAAAGGCATAGAGGGAAGACTGCTGAAGTTGGTTTGGAACATTAAGAAAAAAAAACCACGTTGTTTAAAAAAAACTGCTGAAGTTTACAAGCAAAATAACCTTCCAGATAAACAGGACTGCACCAAGAAAGGGGCTTCTCATCCTAGGCAGTGACACACAAAGCCAGAAAATCAGCTATTCATTACTGGAAAAAATAAATTATCTAATTAACTGGGGAAAGCAGTAGGAACTTCTGCTGCTGTCACAACCTTCAGTGTACATATCCAGATCTGTTTCAATATAGACAGTGTTTAACAGCAGCAACAGTCTCAGTCCAAGCAGTAGTTGTTACAGAAAGAAAAAAGCTGGAGGTTGGGCTTTTTAAAAAACAAAACAACCTAAACAATAACTAAAACACACACACAAAAACAAACTAACAAAAACCCAAACTAAACAACAAAATAGTGTTTCCCTATACAGTAGTATTTAGCCACTAGCTAGAAAAATCTGGAAAAGCAGCAGGTAGAGAATGGATGCCTTTTCCTAAATGGAATTTTATGGAATATCCACATCAATTCATGGGCATTCTTGATCAAAAACCCCTTTGATTTATTACA